AAGAATACACACACACACACACACACACACAAAAAAACAAATAAACTCACAGCCTCTGGCCGGGAAACAATTTGGGAGGCTTGCCTGAGAAGCGATACCTGTGGCTGGTAAGTCTCAGCTGTGATTCTCTCCCGAAAAGCGGCCAGGGCTGTATTGAATCAGAAACTAGGGAGGGTCATTATCCAACAGGTGCTAGGCACATGGCTCCTTTGGAGTAAGGACATATCTTTGGACTTCACTCCACCATTGGGGGAGTCTGCATGCACAGCAAGATCCCCTCCCTGATGCCCGGTGTCCTTTCCCTGGGACAGTGTCATGAGCATGTCACGGATAGTGGTTCTGTCCCGACTAATTTGTGCTTCTGTGTCTTTGTGATCAGCTGTCCCAGTTGGGGATCAGGAAAGGTGACTGATCCAGAAGATGCTGAGTTGACAAGAAACCAATGGAACCTAGGATCCTTCTGATAAACTGTGGACTTTGGGCTTCTTTTACCTCCCGGAAGGGGTAGGAGGGGCTCTTTCTGTGACCCTCACCCCCAGCGGGGTTACTTCCTGATCAGCCTGGCTGTGAGGGACACCCAGCAGCACTATCAGACAAAGGCCCAGTGACAGAGGGAGCAGGCTGCAACTAGAAGGTGTCAGAGAGACAAGCATGCACTGTTTTAAAAAAAACAAAATGTTATCAGCTTGTATCTCAGTCTACTTTTAAAAGAAATGGTAAATGATCTGTCATTCCCTGTCCTGTAATCTGCCTAGAAAACAAATATTCTATGTTGTATGAGTCACTGTTTACTCAAGAAGACGGAGTCTTTTTTATTAAAAGAATTAAATGTTTTTACAACTATAATTTTAAGTACATGCTACATTTCATGAGATGCACTGTCAAATAAAAGTGACATGAAACTTTCGGGTATATTTGCATAAAGTTTCTTAAAATGTGCTATGTCCTGCTACCAGTCATAATTCTAAAATGGATGTTACAAAAATAAAGTTTCCACCTCAACTGCATTATAATGACCTGTCATCAGACTTTTAACCACTATCATTTCTGATTTTCCTCATTTGCAGATAGTTGTTTTACTCCAAGGCTTAAACAAAATATGTTCCTGCAGAAGTGCTCATCTTTGAGGAGATTGGTGGAGGCGTTGACAAGTACAGGTTTCTGATGATTAGGAGCTATTTGCCTTCATGTGGTGAAACAGAGAGTCCTCATCATTTGGGGGGGTGAGTAAACAAATTTAATGATTATAAAGGGTATTCTCGTAGAAGGAAATGCGTTTTCCAATTGACATATACTTGCTTTACACCTCCCGGTTTTGATTTGATGGGAGACAGCTTTAGGAATCATTTCTTCTCACTCTGCACACCCCTCATGGACCCCGCCTTTATTCCAGATAATCAGAAACCACTGAAGCAGCAGAAGACAACAGCGAGGAGCTGACTGGTGGTCACTAGGCCAGTACTTCTGGCAGGCTAGAGGTAACATCCTCACCTCTGGGATGGTTCAGCTCCTGAGTGCTCAGGTGGAATGACTCCCAGGCTTCTCCTCCGTAAATCCAGACTCAGGGCTGGCAGAACGGACCTCAGAGCTGTCTTCACAGCAGAGGGAGTGACTGATCACCTCGTCTCAGACCAATCAGCTACCAGCAGGACCCAAATCTCTAACTCACAGTGTCCTGACCTCTCCCTATAGGATCTGCAGCTGACAAGCCAATTAGGGGCTGGGCTTTCATCCTCCAGCTCCTGTCCTCCAGTTTGGCCTATTCAGTATTAAACCTTCTTTTGTCCACTGCAATCTCCTGCTGGTGCACTTGATTTTGCTGCCCTGAAAAGTGAGACAAATTCAAGTATTGGGGTTTGGTAAGACAAGAGTAGAACAATAATAAACTTTCCAAGTGTTGCGGCAAGGCTCCCTGAACAGCTTAACAGTGTGGCCTGGGGTAGCGGTCCCAGAGATATCTTGATCTTGCCAATATCAGTAAAAGAAACCCAGTACACTGATGATGTCATGTCAATGTGTAAAGGCTTGTCTCTGCCATTGGACACTGCAGTCATTGATGGAACACCTGGAATGGAGAAGATGGGCTGTGAACCAACATAAAATTCAAATCTCGTGAGACTGTCTGCTCTAAAATCTTTCCACAATTACTAACTTCTGCAAAGAACACATCTGCGGCTGTCGCTCACAACAAATGTGAGAGATATGTCTTTCAGCTATAAAGCCTGAAATGGAGGCTAGAAATCAAGTCGGAATTCTCTAGTATCTGCAGCAGTGGACCAGAACAATAACTTCAACTATATACGTCTCATGTAAGATTCACATATTAGAAATGTAACAAAAGTGAGAATGAAACAAACTTTTATCTAAAAGTACATCAACTTCCACATAAAAACATAAACAAACAAAAGCCCACTTATCAGAGTCCATAAGACACTATAGTAGAAATGAGGCAAGTTTCATGTAATTGAACAGTTACATATGTCCTTGGTAGGACATACTGAAACATAATGAATGTAGTAGAGATGGAAAAAGACATGAAAAATACATATATACAGAGTTTAGATCAGCAATATGAGCTAAAAATACAGGAGATCTCTATTAACAATGAGGCACTTACAAAGGCAAATTTTATTTGTGACATTTTTCTGTCTTGCTGAGTTTCCATGTACAGAAATAAGTAAAATGCTGAAGGGTAGCCCACATTCTTTCCAGTTATAAAGTATTTCTCCAGTGTGGTCGCTCACATTGATCATAAGATTTTAAGGGAGAAAAGGCTCTTCCACAGTACTTATATTCAGAATTGCATCATCAAATGATCTCGCAGAGATGTGGAAAACCTGAAGGCTTTCCCTCAATGCTGACATTTATAGGATTTCAGTGTATATTCTCACATTTGCCTGAAGGCAGTCTCACTGCATGAATGCTTTTTCACAATGCTCACATTCATAGGCTTTCCTTCCAGTATGTGCACTTGCATGTTTAAAGAGAATTGACATATGGTTAAAGGCTTTCCCATAGTGCTCACATATATTAGGTTTCTCTCAAATATGTGTTTTAGCATGTAGAGGGTGGAATTATGCATGAAGACTTTCTCACGCCCCTTATATACAAATCATTTCTCCACAGTGTGTATTTTTACATGTGACTTCAGGGAGACTCGATGCCTGTAAGCTTTTCCACACTGCTCACATTTGTAGGGTTTATCTCCTGAGTGTGTTCTCACATACTTTTTTAAGAAAAAGATAGACAAAAACCGTTCCCACACTCTATATATTTATGAGGTCTAAACCCCTTGTGGGATCTAACATGTCCTTGTAAAGAGGAAAATTTCAGAAAACCTTCCCTCCACTAAGTACATATATTTGGTTTCTCTCCAGCGTGTATTTTCTTTTCATGTAACTTAAGAGATGCTCGACGACTGTAAGCTTTCCTACACTGCTCACATTTGTAGGGTTTATCTCCTGAGTGCGTTATCACATGCCTTCGTAAAGTGGAGGATAGACAAAAACCTTTCCCACACTCCTTACATTTATAGGGTCTCTCCCCTGTGTGCGTTCTCATATGACCTCGTAAAGAGGACAAAGAAGAAAAGACTTTCCCACACTCCTTGCATTTACAGAATTTCTCCCCAGTGTGTATTCTTACGTGTGACTGAAGAGAGAATCGCTGAGTGAAGGTTTCCCCACACTGCTCACATTCATAGGGTTTCTTTCCAGTATGTAAAATTGCATGTCTTCGAAGGGTGGACTGATGGCGGAAGGCTTTCCCACACTCCTTACATTCATAGGGTTTGTCCATGGTGTGTATTCTCACATGTGACTGAAGGGAGTATCTCTGATAAAAAGCTTTCCCACACCATTCACATTCATAGGGTTTCTTCCCAGTATGTGCACTTACATGTTTATAGAGAATCGATTTACGATTAAAGGCTTTCCCACAATGCTCACATACATAAGGTTTCTCTCCAGAATGTGCTTTGGCATGTGCATGAAGGGTGGAATTATGCATAAAGGCTTTCCCACACTCCTTACATTCATATGGTTTCTCCCCAGTGTGTCTTTGTACATGTGACTTAAGGGAGACTCGATGACTATAAGCTTTCCCACACTGATCACATTTGTAGGGTTTCTCCCCAGTGTGCAGTCTCACATGTGTCTGTAGGTAGTGTTGTCCCCCAAAGGCTTTCCCACACTGTTCACATTCATAGGGTTTCTCCCCAGTATGTGTTCTCACATGTATCTGAAGGTAGCGTCGCCACAAAAAGGCTTTCCCACACTGTTCACATTCATAGGGTTTCTCCCCAGTGTGTGTTCTCACATGTATCTGAAGGTAGCGTCGCCACAAAAAGGTTTTTCCACACTGTTCGCATTCATAGGGTTTCTTTCCAGTATGTGCTACTGCATGTGTATGGAGGGTAGAATAATGCCTGAAGGCTTTTCCACACTCCTTACATACATAGTGTTTCTCCCCAGTGTGTATTTTCTTTTCATGTGATTTAAGGTAGTATGGATGACTGAAAGCTTTCCCACACTGCTCACATTTGTAGGGTTTATCTTGGGAGTGTGTACTCACATGCCTTCGTAAAGAGGAGGATACATTAAAACCTTTCCCACACTCCTTACATTTATAGGGTCTCTCCCCTGTGTGCGTTCTCAAATGACATCGTAAAGTGGATAAAGTAGAAAAACCTTTCCCACACTCCTTACATACATAGGGCTTCTCTCCAGTGTGTATTCTCGCATGTGACCGAAGCCATTCTCGCTGCCTGAAGGCTTTCCCACACTGGTCACATTCATAGGGTTTCTTTCCAGTATGTGAAGTTACATGTCTCCAAAGGGAAGCATAATGGTGGAAGACTTTGCCACACTCCTTACATTCATAGGGTTTGTCCATAGTGTGTATTCTCACATGATATTGAAGGTAATATCTCTGACGGAAGGCTTTCCCACACTGCTCACATTTGTAAGGTCTCTCGCCAGTGTGGATTCTAACATGGACGCGAAGTTGGGATGGACAAGAATAGGATTTTCCACATTCCTTACACACATACGGTTTGTCTTCCATGCGGGTGATCACACGTGCTCTCAGGGATGAAGGAAACTTCAAGACTTTGCCATGTTCCTCACATGAATTAGGTGTGCATCCCGTTTGAGATATATCCCAATTCTGAAAAAATGAACACTGCACAGGGACTTTACCAGATATGGTACTTTCACAAGCATTAACTCTGGTCTCATGTTTCTCATGCGAGGGATGATCTGTAGCTGTATTCAAGGTGTCTCCAAATTGACTACATTTACTAGTTTCACAGAGGTCCTCCAATAAATAACTTCTGTTAAAAATATGAAATACAGAATTACAGGTTAATAATCATAAGTGATTTCCTAATGACTGATGGATAATGTAAATGATTATTTTGACTACATATTTGCCTTGTCCAATAAATGGGTATGTTTGTGGAAACCTCTGAATTGTGACATCCTGGAAAAATCATAGTGCTCCTGCTGGGGGCACAAAGAGGGACAAAAGAAACAAGGTTTCTTACATACGATGTTTCCTCATCATTATTTCCAACTGAATTCTGAACAGAAGCTCAGTATCAACAAGTAAATGTTGTCTTGAGAAAATTCTCTGGGTACACAATTGTTTAGCAAAATTTACATACATTTGAAAAGTTGTTTAAACTTAGTTTAACACTTTGGAGATATTCTCCTTGCTCCTGTGGGAGTGCCACTCACCTACACGGCGTCGCCTGGGTTAGAGGCTGATCTCCATTGTCATTAAGTGACTGGTTTTCACCCCAAACTGACCAAGAATCATTTCTTGTAAATCTTACTGTTTTCTCTTTATTGGCTATGTTATTTTCCAAAGTTTTCCTCTGAGAAAATGAGCCAAAGGTTTTAACTTCAGTGTAACAACCTGCAAATATCAATGAATAACTTAATTTCATGGAAATAGAATGGTGGAAAAAGGAAAACAACCTCTCTGTATTTATATGCTGATCCAAAATGTAAACAAATTTGATTAAGATGAAATGACACTCGAGCAAAAACAACCAAAAGAACTGAGGACATTCTGTGTTTGGGACTGTGGCAAAAATGGGTTAAATGAGTCAAAATGGCAACCTGTTTACTAAGAAATACTTTTAAAAACACGCAGACCGATATTCAGATAAATATAATTGAAAATGCTGAGTAGAAAAAAACTGGCCCATGCCCAAAACATCTCGTCACAAGAGGAGATACAGAGTCTTTCCAAGTCATTTAAAATATATGAAAAGTCCAACAAAAAAAGACAGGTACGTGACAAATGTTACTTTTTGAAAACATGAGTAGTAACGTTTTTAACAAACTTTTGCAAATACCATTCTGTTATCTAGAAAATGTTGTTTCTCTGGGATGTTTCCTTCATGGTGTCACAGACACCACAGGATCTAGATGAAGCATTACACACGGTCCCCAGCTCCCACTGGAACATCAAATGGTACATAACTACTGACCTGCTCCTTCAAAAAGCTGATTATAGGAGAATGGAGGGCAATGAACATTTAATGAAGATAATAAGACACTATGACTTTCAAAACCAGTGACGTTGGGTAAGTGTGAGTTTAAATGCAGCAAGATTATCATGTCAAATATGAATTAACCACAATGTAACATTCTGAAAGGCAAAACTATAAAGCTGCTCTTGAGAACCCAAAGTGAGACTGAGTGATGCTCACACGTAAAATGAGGGACCTCAGCCTTGATTGATGGAATAAACAAACAGATTAATATATGAAACTATTTACATGAAAAAGCCATTTGATTCTAGGTACAATCCATGATGTCTTGAACTACAGCTGTCTTTTCTTCAACATATTTTCATTCATTTACCCCAAGAATAAATAAACGCTGTAAAATATTTCTTATAATGTTTTCTCTAAAATCTAAGCCAAGGGAAGAAGCTGACCTTACCCACGAAGGCCAGGTTCCGGCAGGTCTCCAGCATCACATCTCGGTAGAGCCTCCTCTGAGTATGATCCAGCAAAGCCCACTCTTCCCGTGTGAAGTTCACAGCCACGTCGGCAAAGACCACCACATCCTGAAATATCCCACATATTCTGATTCAACAAGACACTTCTTCATCAATATATATAAGAAAAAGGAAAAGGGTGACAAGGACCAGGACTCAATTCCTAGGACACTTGAGCTCATATTCACATGGAAAATGACAATAAACAAGTAAACCAAATGCTGTATACTCAGAGATGGTAAAGCATGGAAATCTGAATAATAGTGTGAAAACAACAACTGATATACACTTGTCCACGCATTATGATAAAAAAGGTTCTACTGCAAACAGATGGGGTCTGGGATAAAATAGTGACAAAAATACAGAATCACCATCCAGAAAACAAAAATAGATACTTGGCTTGCTCAAAGTTTGCTTCTTTTCCAACTCCAAACCTGGAACCAGAATGTCAAGATGTGAACACGCAGACATCTAGGCAGCTTCGTCAAAACAACTCTTGCCTTGGGAGTCATCAGCCTCAAGGAGCCTAGTCTAGTCCCCTCATATCCAACAGAGGCAGAGAGCCCACCCCTCCCAGGAAGAGGTGGACACTGTGGGAATTGACAGAGACCAGGGCCAAAGCCTGGCACACCTGCAGGTAAAAGATATGCCTGATACTGGAAGAATCTATCGAACTAACAGGGTGTCTCATACAAACAACCTAATCCACAAAAACCCTCCAAACCACTCACGCTTTCAACAGCAGTCAAACCCAAGGGGCCTTCCCTAAGTCTGACCTTCGGAGACTCACAAGTTTGCACAATACATGCTAAATTCCCCTGATGCTCTGGATGATGCCAAACCACATGCATTCTGTTCACTAACCGCTCCCTTGTCCCTTCTGCCATGAAGATACCCCGTCTTGGTGTGCAGTGACTCTCTAGCACCTTGGTATAATGAGCTGTGTTCCTGAGCCTTCCTGTGCCCCTTGTGACCATGCAAATGGCTACCATCCCCTCAAGGCACACAGGACAAGGGTATGCTTGTACTCTCCCAAAAAGCACTCAGGGGGCATCCCTCCAAATCTCCAGAGTCAGCTTCCAAGGAGAAGATGAGGCCCACGAACCGTATCTCTAAAAGGAAAACCCTCTGCATATTGGGAAGGGTACACACGAACAATGCTTTGAGACCATGAGTTTCTTGGTTCTGATATGAAAATGTAAGACTTCTGTGGAAAATGTCAAGGATGGACTCTTCTCCGCCAGTGGTGGAATCCCACTGTGGGGTTGTGACCCACATCTCCCGTGCTGTGACCAGTCAGTGCACCCATGGAGAGCCTCATGAATGTCAGTGTTTCCATGAACAATGGACCTATTTCTTGGTGAATCAATGACACTGGAGAGTAAAGTCCATCTGACAATGATTGGAACTGCATGGGTACAAGCTTCCTCTCTGCAAAGATGGTACAGGTATCATTACAAACCATGTGCTCTCTCCATATCTTCTCTCCAATCCCTGAGATGTGTGTCCCTTGCACAGCACCTGAGGCCCAGATCCATGGAAAACACAACATCTGCACCATGCACAGGGCCAGAGAAGCATCTCTGAAGGTCACCTGACAGAGAGAAACCGAGCTTTGTCCCCTGGGGGCAAAGCAACAGAACCGTAAACCAGTTGATGAAAAGAGAATAGCACTATCCATTTTTCACCAGTGAAACAATACAAGGAACCATCACCGGGCAGTAGCATTATCAGTCAATTCCCATCCACCAGGGGAACAAACACCCTGTGGATATCAGCAAGGTTACCAGCAACAAGGAGAAAGACAGACATGGTCCTATTCTGGTATTGGCTTTCCATTAAAAAACTCTATGAGATGTTTGAAAACAAATATTTAAAAACAGCATTTCCAGAAATTAGCAGAGTTTATTCAAAGCCCTTATGCCTAACTAAAGCTGTCTCCTACCTCACTTCCACCATGTCGAAGAGCCCACCTCACCTAGGAGACCGCTTGTCCCAGCTATCCACAGACAACTAGGGAAGATGTACATCAGCTTCCCCTCCCACATTTCTGAACTGCAGAAGCATGACTCCTGGTGTCTGGCTGGCGACCACTGTCAGTCAGGATTCAGTATTAGGATAAATAAGTCATTTTTATTTTAAAAAGATGATAGCCACATAAAAGTTAATACTTTCAAAAGGTATATTTATTTAGTCCTATTACCCCAGAACACATGTGAAAATTTTAGCAATTACAAGTATAACTTCTTCCTTGGAACGGATTAATATGTCCCCTCAATTAATGAAATATAAAACAAAAAAAGTCAGTTTGTATATAACATTTTTGAAAAATCTGAATAATAATAGTTTCCTAAGAAACAACGAATAAAAGTCCATTTGAAAAAAGTGCACATGGTTTGAAACAATTTAAAAATCAAAGAAACACTTGGTAATCACACCAAAAAACTGAAGATAATTAAACATACTGGGTTTATCCATTAGAGAGCATTCAGCTATAAGAGAAAACTTCCACAAAGTGCCAAATATATTCATAAAGGCTTTTTTCAAACATAGAAGTATCTGGAAACAAGAAATGAAGGGTCAGTGTGGCCTCTAAATAAAGCAATCTGGGAAGTAAGTTTCCTGCATTTTGTTCAGCACTAAATGTGTTGGGATGGAGGCAGGAAACATATCTCCCAAAAGAGGAACAATAAAAATCATGTAATTAAGAGAGACATAGGAGATGAAGTGGATGACAGATTGAGAGATTGCTAGATCAGAGAGCTGGAAAAAGTGGACTGATGACCATCGAAGAGCTACAGGAAAATGCAAGGATCTGTGTAAACTTGAAAACCAAAGAAAGCCCATGATGGCGGTGGCCCAAGAATAGTCTGTGCAGTGTGCTACCTATAAAGAAACTAACAGCAACCATAAGTTTGGTGGGGGCTGTCACAGACGGGCAGAGCCAGGACTCAGAAGACTGTGCTGTCAGGCCCACTAGGTTCCCATGCATAGATGTCTCCTGACAGTACAAAGAACTGACTCATGGCTTCTTCAGCTCTGCCTTCCAAACCTCACGCAATTTCCTCTTCTCGTGACCGTTACCTCAGAACCATAACCAGGAGGACAATGGGATACAGTTTCCCACCTCACCCAAGCTGACAACACAATTCAGTGGAACCTTCTGGACATCAGCTTTCATCATCACACCACAAAGTCTTTCTTCATAACTCCCTGTATTGTGCCCAATATACAACCAAAATCAAGGACATTGAGCAGAAATCAAATTATGAACATAATAAGAGGAGATCTGGACATAATTATTAACATCTGTGATGAACACATTGTGGGATTCACTAACAAATGTGAAAGACACACTTTTCAATAATAAACTCTGAAGGGGAGGGTAGCTATCATGTCACAAAATTCCAGTATTTGCAGCAGTGGGCAAGAACAGAGATTCAATAAAGGTCTCATATCATGATCATACAGTAGGAACATGATAACTTGTAAGACTAAAAATTTTTTTCATCTAAAATTATATCCAGTTTCACATAAAAAACCCACTTATTACCCTTGGATCCAAAACACATTTTAATGGAAATGAGGCATGTTTTATACAACTGTATAAATACTTAAAGTCAGAGATAATATATATGTAGTACAGACAACGAGATGTAGAGAAGTATGCATCATATCAAGTTTTCATGTCAGCAACATGAACCAAAATTAAAACACTGGAAATCGCTATTAAGAATGAGCTATTTACAAAGATAAAACCATACTTATAATAATTAAGAGATTTCAGTCTTGCTCTGAGTTTTTAGTAGAAAACAAGTGAACTGCTACATCCGAAGATTTTTCCAATTCTTTCCATCCATACAGCTTCTCTCCAGTGTGCATACTCACATTTATAACAAGGTTCTAAGGGAGAATGAAGATGTCTCACAGTCCTTGTGCTCAGAGTTTCTGTTCATCATGTGTCCTCAAATGTGCTTGCAGGGATTCAAGATACTGGAAGGCCTTGCCACATTGCTGACATTCATAGGTAGTCTTTTCACTGTGCATTCTCACGTGTTTTCGCAGAGATGTGGGATACCTGAAGGCTTTCCCACAGTGCTGACATTCAAAGGGTCTCTCCCCACTGTACGTCCTTGCATGTATTCGAAGGGATGAAAGAAAACTATAGGCTATCCCGCACTCCTTACATTCATAGGGCTTCACTCTGCTGTGCACTCTCATGTGACCTTGAAAATACTGAAGCTGCCTAAAAGCTTTCCCAAATTCCTTACATTCATAGGATTTCTCCCCACTGTATGTTCACACGTTTTTGAAGGTAAGAGTGACTAATGAAGGCTTTCCCACATTGCGGACGATCATAGGGCTTCTCCATACTCTTCACAGAGATGGGGTTCATGTCCAGTGGGAGAGCCGGGCTGGTTCTTCAAGAAGAAATGATCTGGGCAGATGTTTCCACACTTGCTGCATCCAGAGGGTTTACCTGCAGTTAGATATCTACCGGCACAGGAAGATGTGTGATCTGAGTCAGGGTATCTCCACACTGATGACCTTCATTATGGTCACAGGGTCTCTGCACAAAACGACGGCTGATCAAATGGGAAGCACACTGTTAGGGACTAATGTCCATAAGTGCTGTCATTAATGATTATTCATGGTGGTAATGACCCCTTTGACTACGTGTTTGCCATTTTCAATGCATGCGTATGTTTCTGGCTCTGTTTACAATGTTACGTTGTGGAACGGCATCAATGCTCTGGCTGAGCTCACGCAGAACCACGACTGTTTCTTACGTTCAGGGTTTTCTGACCATTGTTTCCAACTGAATTGTTTCAGACGCACAATATATACATCATTTATGAAAATGTTGTCTTATAAACGTTCTGAGTGCACTACTGATGAGCTAGGTTTACATTTTTTCTTAAATTTCAAGTTAGTGTACCACTCTGCTGAGGTCCCCCTGCCCTGTGGAGATGCTGCTCACCTCCAAGGCCTGATCTGCAAACGTTATGTAACATCCAGGGTTCTTCAAACACAAACCAGAAATCTTTTCCTGTGAATCTTACAATTTT